ATAGGATTTCACAGTCGCTCTTTGTCTACACCCCTTACAAACAGAACTAAGGCCTGTTTTTCGAGCATCCCAAATTTAAACAAAAGCCTTGGATTGCATTCTCCTTCATGATCAATATCTTAACATTTAAACATTTTCATAAAATAAATTTTATTAAATACAACTAATGATATAATTACTTTTCAATAAATGTTGTTCAAAGATGTTTTGAATGATGCTTTACTTGTTTTAATATTTAAACTCAAAATAATCGAAGGCTATTTTGGAATGAATTCAAGAATTTAAACATGTTTGATTGAAGGGAAATATATGAATATTATTAGAAGTTATTTTGAAAAAAATAAATAGATTTAGATAAGGAATTAAATCAATAATGCCCTAAATAAAGCAAAAACTGTTTAAATATTAACAATCAGTTAGAGCAGTTGTAAGATTACTTTCATGTAGAATACAGATCTCAGGTAAATTAGATCCTTCAAATTTATTTGAATTATAATTTTTTTAACAGGAAATAATTTGTCAAGTTTATTACTGAAGAGAGTTTTTATTATAGTTTATAGGAAAGGATAAGATATGATGGGAATGAAGTGAGTCACTGAATAATTTATATAGTATATTAAAATCATACCTAATGTACTCAATTTATTCATATAGCTAAATTCAAATCAAATATTAATAATTATTATTCAATATAATTTCTTTTATATTTATTTCTTTTTAACAAGCCAAATTTCCAGGATAAGATTGATCTTAGTATTCCATATGAGCTTCTTAGAGATCGAAGGGTAGAGAGGAAAATAATGAAGGGAGAAAGAATATTTTAACTTTTTGGAATAGATCTGAATTAAATATGACTTTTGATTAAAGATTTCCAATCATTTAATATTTTGTGCTACTTTGATTATAAATACGAAATTAATGAAAAGAAAGAGGAGAATATATTAGAATAAGGAATTCTAATTTGAAAAAGTATAGTTTTTTAAAAAGTATTTATTCCAGTATAATCACAACATAGGTATAATCTATTCTCTAATAAGAAATTGATAGCTATAACGAGAATAAAAAAGATGAATATATAACCTATCAAATTTATTTGATGAATTTGGAATAATTGCATCATGTGAAATAATAAAAGTAATAAAATATCTTGAATTATATTATAATGAATCCTTGAAGGAGTTAATCTAATTAATATATCAGGATTGATCTCTAATATTTGATAGAAGAAAAGGAAAAGCAAGATTGCTTTGTTAAAAAGAATTTAATAAATATATAATATATAATAAAATGACTTTTGTTGATTACCAATGAACTAGGCAGAACAATTTTAATCCCAAAAAGAGAGATAATATTTATTTCTGATTCAGAATCTAATAAAGAAATAGTCAGCTATGAAAGGAAACATGCCAAAGTATATCCAAAGTAAGGTACTTCAAAAATACAGTTCAGGTTACAAATGGAAACTGCACTTAATGATATTTTAACTGAAATCTCAAAATTCATAATCTTATTTAAAGACTCGTATGGCAAATCCAATTTTGGATGAATAGTGATAAGCAATTAAGAATGACTTTATGCGCTTTGTAAATAAAATTCGGTATTAGTAATTACTTGACAGTATTTTGCTTTTGGAATATTATTAGTTTTACAGGAAACAACAGTAAGTATAATACATTGTAAATGGTGATAAAGTTGAAGAATTATTTGATATAGGAAGTTAAGTTCATACAGACTTAGAAGAAAGAGGAGGAAATTTAATCATAAGAAAGTTTGAGATAAGCACCTATGATATTTCTTATTTGTCATGTTTATTAGGTTAGTTTAAAGCTCAATTTAAACTCAGGTTTATTGCTTTGATTCTGGAATAACTCTTAATGATTTAGAAGAAATTCAATATATAATTAAAGAAATATTTCAAATAATATCCGATATAAAATCCAATACATTATTTTGAAATAAAATTAATGAGAAATTAAATATTCTAAGATCATTAATTATTTGTCGATGAGCCTAATACACTAAAGATCACACTATAATTTAAAAATAAGTATTACTAAAATTTGCCTTTTTAAAATAGATTTTTTAATTGATTTATCAAAGTGATATATTCTAATTAGAATGCAACTTGATTTTCAACAAAAATATCTTTAAATCTTACTTTCTCCAACTTTACAATAAATATGTTTAAGAGACCAAAAGGAATAGCGTAGAAATCTATTTACTTTCGTAGATAATATTGTGATATTATCAACAAATTATATGATTAGATTACAATTTGAATTTTAGAGTTTAAAGCTTTATAGGTACGACAGAATGAAACAATTGAGCAGATATACAATCATTAGAACATTTGGTATATGTTTTATTTGAATATAATTACTATTTAGTTGTGTAAACAATAAAGTGAGTATAAATTAAACACTTTGTTTTTTAAAAACGATAAAAAAATTGTTTAGAGTAAAAAATTCCCTCCAAAAAAACCAAAAAGGAGGGGCAAAAAAATAATCGCTGCATA